ATGCCTCCTCGGAGACGCAAGACCAAATGAAGGGTGGACTCCTTCTGAATGTTATAGTCGGACAGTGTACGGCCATCTTCGAGCTGCTTGCCAGCAAAAATCAGTCGTTGTTGGTCTGGAGGAATTCCTTCTTTATCCTGGATTTTAGCCTTGACGTTTTCAATTGTGTCAGAAGCCTCGACTTCTAAGGTAATAGTTTTACCGGTAAGAGTTTTTACAAAAATTTGCATGCCTCCTCGAAGACGCAAAACTAAATGGAGAGTTGACTCTTTCTGAATGTTGTAGTCCGACAATGTACGTCCATCTTCGAGTTGCTTGCCAGCAAAAATCAAACGTTGCTGATCTGGAGGTATGCCTTCTTTGTCTTGAATTTTAGCCTTGACGTTTTCAATCGTATCTGAGGCCTCGACTTCTAGGGTTATTGTTTTGCCAGTTAGAGTTTTAACGAAGATCTGCATACCACCACGAAGTCGGAGTACAAGATGCAGAGTAGACTCCTTCTGAATGTTATAATCAGACAGAGTACGCCCATCCTCGAGCTGCTTACCAGCGAAAATCAAACGCTGCTGATCTGGTGGGATACCTTCTTTGTCTTGAATTTTGGCCTTCACATTTTCAATTGTATCGGAAGCTTCAACCTCAAGTGTGATGGTTTTTCCAGTGAGAGTCTTGACAAAGATCTGCATGCCTCCTCGAAGACGTAATACGAGATGTAGGGTAGACTCTTTTTGAATGTTGTAGTCCGACAATGTACGTCCATCTTCGAGTTGCTTGCCAGCAAAAATCAAACGTTGCTGATCTGGAGGGATACCCTCTTTGTCCTGGATTTTTGCTTTGACATTTTCAATTGTGTCAGAGGCCTCAACTTCCAGTGTGATGGTTTTGCCAGTAAGAGTTTTTACAAAGATTTGCATACCACCACGAAGTCGGAGTACAAGATGGAGTGTAGACTCTTTTTGAATGTTATAGTCTGAAAGTGTACGCCCATCTTCGAGCTGTTTACCAGCGAAAATCAAACGCTGCTGATCGGGAGGGATACCTTCTTTATCCTGAATTTTAGCTTTGACATTCTCAATCGTGTCGGAGGCCTCGACTTCTAGAGTGATTGTTTTACCAGTAAGAGTTTTAACAAAAATTTGCATGCCTCCTCGGAGACGCAAGACCAAATGAAGGGTGGACTCCTTTTGAATGTTGTAGTCCGATAGTGTGCGCCCGTCTTCAAGCTGCTTTCCGGCAAAAATCAATCTCTGTTGATCAGGAGGAATACCTTCTTTATCTTGAATTTTGGCCTTGACGTTTTCAATTGTATCAGAGGCCTCAACTTCCAGTGTGATGGTTTTGCCAGTGAGAGTCTTAACAAAGATCTGCATGCCACCACGAAGTCGAAGCACAAGATGGAGTGTAGATTCTTTTTGAATATTATAGTCTGAAAGTGTACGCCCATCTTCGAGCTGTTTACCAGCGAAAATCAAACGCTGCTGATCTGGAGGGATACCCTCTTTGTCTTGGATTTTTGCTTTGACATTTTCAATCGTGTCTGAGGCTTCGACTTCTAGCGTAATTGTTTTTCCTGTTAGGGTTTTAACAAAAATTTGCATGCCTCCTCGGAGACGCAAGACCAAATGAAGGGTAGACTCCTTTTGAATGTTGTAGTCGGACAGTGTACGGCCATCTTCAAGCTGCTTGCCAGCGAAAATCAAACGCTGCTGATCTGGAGGGATACCTTCTTTGTCTTGAATTTTAGCCTTGACGTTTTCAATTGTATCGGAAGCTTCCACCTCTAAGGTGATCGTCTTTCCAGTGAG